GCTGTGTTGCTAAGCTAAGGGGTTGGCTGGCTTAGGTGTATTGAACGCATTCTCGACATATGATACCTTCAGCTCATGATGGGTTTATCTGGACGTAACTCCCTTCTAAGTGGAGGAGCACCTGTGGCCATTGGTGCTGTTTCTCTGGGCAAGCCTGACTGATGCACCTTCTCTATGCCACTCACTCTGCTCCAGGACCGTAGCCAACAGAGATTCCGCCCCAGGGCTCCTGTGCCTTGTGGCCTCTGACTGTGTTTATTCAATGAGCCGCCTGGCCATGAGGTGCAGGACGTAAAGTGATGAGACCGCAGTACTCATCCCCTGGTCCCTCTGCAAGGCGGCCAGCTGATGCTCCTTCTAGATGGTTCCCTGCATCCTTCAGCTGCCCTGTGTCCATGCACCACTGACCACACCCCCTGTGCATAAACTGATTCTCCTCCTGCCATGGCACCTCCATTGGCTATGGAGACCTTGTCTAACACGCTCTGTGACTTGTTGTACGAGACCAGTGTTACCATGAAGCCCAAACCACAAGAGGTCAAGATGAGCAAGGACGATCATGGACACAAGTCCAAAAATTCCCAATTAAACATTAGCAAAGGCACCCCATGAAAAAAGCTAGAAGGGCTAAACTTTAAGACGTTGAAAATACAAGAAAGTAGCCTTGTGACCTTGATTTCCTAAATAAGGCATCAAATGTGCAAAGCAGAAGAGAAAAAAAAATCAATGCCTTCACTCCATTAAGGTTAAGGGTTTTGTTTCACCAACAGGCTGTAAATACACTGAAGACATAAGCTTCCTGCAGCCACCCAGAGTGTGCCCGGTTCCCACTAACCGCCCTCTTCCAGTCCTGCCCCACCCTCTCTGGGGTGGCCACTCTTCCACCCTCTGTTGCTATGCAATCAGCTTGTTTAGCGTCCACAGGTGCTGAGATCCCTAAGCATTTGTCTTTCTGTGCCTAGTTTCAGGTAACAGCATTCTCTGGATTTTGGGTATTCCCAACACAAAGAAATGATACATGTTTACGGTGATGGAAATGCTCATTGCTCTGGTTTGTTACACATTGTGTACATGGACCCAAAGCCCACACTGCACTCCATGAATATGGACTTGCTATATATCTATTAATTTTTTTAAAAAGTTAAGGGATGAGTTTTTCTTTCTTTCTTTTTTTTAAAGATCTATTTTATTTATTTGAAAGGCAGAGTTACACACAGAGAGAGGTCTTCCATCTGCTGGTTCACTCCCCAAACTGTCGCAACATCTGGGGAGTCAGCTTGTGGATAGGAACTCTTATCTCCCTTCCCTCTGCCTTTCAGATAAATAAAATAAATGCATTTTTGCGCATGAGCCCTGATGGCTATTGAAATAGAATAGCCTGTTCCGGAGTGGCAAGCCACTATTGTGGAAAACACCTGCAGAGTGGAGACCATAGACTGGGTGCGGAGGAGGACCTGCGGGTGGGGGGATCCTCCACTTGGGTGACCTTCCCCATTGCATAGCCCCAGGTGGGAGGCAAGCGCAAGCAGAGGAGCGCTCCCCCTCTCTGCTCCTGCGATTTCTGGAGTCTCTTAGTCTGGAGCGGGAACGCGCTGCGCGCATGCTTCCTTTGGTGTGCTGCCAGCGCCAGCCGTCCGTAGCACCGCCTTGTCGCTCGCATTCTGTGTGCCCGCTGCCGGCGGCCTGCTCTCCGGATCCGAGGCTGTTTCCAGCCAAGGTCAACCACGTCTTCATGCAGCAGCCCCAGGGCTCAGGGCTCCGGGCTCCGGGCTCCGGGCTCCGGGTTGCTGCTGCTGCTGCAAACTGGATGGCGCGTGTGGCAGGCAACTCACCCGCAGGTCCGCAGACCGCTGAGCGCCCCTCGCTGGGCTGCCTGGGAACAGCAGCTGGCGGCACGGGGCTGGGGTTGGGGTGGAGGCTGGGAGGAGTCTCTAAATAGGTAACGCTTCCTTCCGGGGTTACACCACATCTGACGGCCAGTCTTGATGGGGGAGGGGGGCGGGGAAGCGCTATTTAAGGGACAAAGATTAGTTTATCTAAAAAACGCTGCATTAAAATAAATAAGGATCCCCCCACGCTATGCCCAAAACGTACAGAAGATTCGGGAACCAGGGGGAGGCTGGTGAGAGGGGGTCGCCCCGTGACCCACCTCCCTGCCCTGAGGGATTTCCTGCCAGATGTAACACTGTTAGAACTGATGGCCAAGAGATGGGGAGGGGGAGGGCATCCACAGAGAGCAGCCTGGAGCCCCCCACCCTTCCTGCCAGCTCCTTTGGCTCCACCCCCTCCCATCCCTGCGGTTTCCCTCCTTAGTGAAATTAGCAACAGTGGAGCGCTGGTTCCCAGGGCGCTTCCTGTGGTCGGTCAATTTGCACCATCGTCTCCGGAGGAAGCTGAGACTCAAAAAAAAAAAAAAAAAAAAAGGAAACCAGCTGGCCCAGGTTCCTGTGCAAACAGGCTATACTACCTCTTCCCCCCTCTGGAACCTGCTCCCAGCAAGGCTGCCCTAGGGCCCCAAAGTGAGACTGGAGAGAGGCACCTGCCTCGGATGGTGGCAGGATAGGCAGGGGATGCTCTGTGCAGCTGCCTGTTCTGGGCGCAGGCCCTGGATCCCCTGGGCTCCGGTGGCTATCAGCTAGGTGACCTCCACCGAGGGGAGTAGGGGCACCCCTGCTGCAGGCCTGACACCCGTCAGAGGCCTGACACGATGAGCAGTGAGTTTTGGCCAGAGACCGATCAGTCTGCAGCTGTCCCAGCCGTACCAGCAGAGCCTGGGGTGATAAGGCACACCTTCCTGTTGTCTGCATCTTGCTCGCTGCCTCCCTGGAAGCAGACTGATGGAGAAACCTCAAGGCTGACTGTCTGCAGCCAACATCAGGAAGTCGGAGGGCTCACAGGGGCCCTCTTTGGCAAACACCCCATCCCGTCTAGCCTTCATCTTCCTCGGGCTGCCACAAGAGGAATCCCACGTGTGTGTATCTGGGTGACCCAGCGGGAACCCTGCGGGAACCCTGGTACCAGGTTCAGCGGCCGGAGTTCCTGGGTCCTTGGGAAGGAGTCTTCCGTTTTTCCTAAGGAAGATTTTGTTGTTGTTATTCCATAATTTGATGGGATCTCCATTTTCTTATTTAAAAAACGCTTTAAAATTTATTTGAGAAGGAGGGGGGTAGAGAGAGAGAGAGGAGAGAGAGGATATGGGGGGAGGGAGAGGAGAGGGAGAGAGGGGAGAGAGAGGAGGGAGAGAGAAGAGAGGTGAAAGAGAGAGAGAGGAGGGAGAGAGAGAGAGGGAGAGAGGAAAGAGAGAAGAGGGAGAGGGCAGAGAAAGAGGGGAGAGAGAGGTGCTAAGAGCCAGGAACTCAGTCCAGGTTGCCCACGTGAGTGACAGGCGTCCAAATCGCTTGAGCTGTCATCTCATGCTGCCTCCTAGGATGATCTACATCAGCAGGGAGCTGGAGTCAGGTACTGGAGCTGGTACCCAGCCCAGGCACTCCGGGACACAGGCAGCTGAACTGGTCATCTCAACCATTGAAACTACAGACTCACCCCATTCTCATTTTGTGAGCGTGACTAGGAACACTGTGTCCCTCTAGTTCCGCGGATCTGGTGGGTCTCCAGTTTCCCTCTCGTTTCTAGACCTCACTGTATTCCTCACTGTATGCTCTCATGTTGCAAACTTTCTCCTTCATCTTGTGCAAAGCCAGGTCCCTTACCCCCCATTTCCATGGATACAGCAGGTGTTTTTCTTGCATTGCATGGACTTGAGCAGGGTCCTGTCTGCCTTGCTACAGGGACACAGCCAGTATCTCAGTTTTTCTCCTTCTCTTTGGACCTAAAAACCCCCCGTATTTTGCACATCTACACCCAAGGCCTCTGATTTCCCTGTATCCATGACACAATGTGGCATCTGTTTCCCCTGTTTTTATGAACAGCACCTCATTTCCCCCTTTTGCTTGCACATAGCTAAGCCTCTTAATTTTTTTTATTTCATGGACATGGCCAGTCTCCATGTTTCTTTCCATTCTATGAAATAGATAATCAGGCTGGCGCCACGGCTCACTAGGCTAATCCTCCGCCTAGCGGCGCCGGCACACCGGGTTCTAGTCCCGGTTGGGGCGCTGGATTCTGTCCCGGTTGCCCCTCTTCCAGGCCAGCCCTCTGCTGTGGCCAGGGAGTGCAGTGGAGGATGGCCCAAGTGCTTGGGCCCTGCACCCCATGGGAGACCAGGAAAAAGCACCTGGCTCCTGGCTCCTGCCATCGGATCAGCGCGGTGCGCTGGCTGCAGCGCGCCGGCCGCGGCGGCCATTGGAGGGTGAACCAACTGCAAAAAGGAAGACCTTTCTCTCTGTCTCTCTCTC